CAGATGGATAGCCAGTTAACATTAGATTCAGTAGTTAATAAAATTACTCAAGCAGAACGCATTAAAGACGAGAATAAAGAACTAAGACAGCAAAGTTGTCAACTTGATAGTGTGACCAAAAACAGGAAACCGTTTAATAAAACTTACAGGGAAAAAGGAACTAAAAGCTACACATTCCGAGAGGAAAAAAGAAGAAAGTTTCAAAGAAAACGTGAGACATGCATACGATGTGGAACAAAACCCACACATAGAAAAGAAAATTGCCCTGCACAAAATGCAAAATGTCGGAAATGCAACTTGCTGGGACACTTTGCACGACAATGTCGAACAAAGAAAGCACATGAAGTCACTCAAAAAGAAACAAACACGGACACAGAAACAGACGAATCAACCTACAGTTTTGATCAAATAATTAATGTCAATGGCATAACACATGAGGGCTCGTGGAATATTAAATTAAAGGTTAACAATACCACATTGAAATTTAAAATCGACACAGGCGCAGACGAAACAATTATCACGCAAAAAGACTTTGAGGAAAAGCTACAACATATAGTAGAAATACGAAAAACTAATGCTATTTTAATGGGACCAGGGAACAATAAAAATCTGGAAGTATTAGGAAAAATCAAATTACCTATAAAGTGGAACAATAAGAGCGAAATTATTAGATAAGTGCTTTGTGGTAAACACGCAAGAAAACCTCTCAGGTAGGCCAGCATTAGAGAAGTTAGAAATAGTGGAGTGGAACAAGAAAACACTAAAGATAAGAAAAGGTATACAAAGTGTGGAAAATAAAGACAAGTTTAAGGAAGAAATTATAAGAAAATATCCAAATTTATTTTCTGGTTTGGGAAACCTCATGAATTATGAATACAAAATAGAATTGAAGGAGGGAGCAGAACCATATGCAATAGGCATACCAAGAAGAATTCCGCTTCCACTTATGAAAGATGTTCAAAGGGAAATAAACAAGATGGTAAACGACAACGTGATAGAAAAAGTAGAAGGACCTACAGATTGGTGCGCGCCAATGGTCATAGCACATAAGAAAAATGGTAAAGTTAGACTTTGTGCAGATCTAACAGAATTAAACAGACATGTAAAACGTGAAAAATTCCAATTACCGTCAGTGGAAGAAACTCTCGCAAAATTGCAAGATGCCAAGGTATTCAGTAAATTAGACTTTTCAAGCGGCTTTTAGCAAATGAGCCTGGATACAGAAACAAGAAAGTACACAACGTTTATTACACCATTTGGAAGATACGTCTACAGGCGCATTCCATTTGGGATTACATCTGCTCCAGAAGTATTCCAAAAAGTGCTGTACAACATTATAACTGAAGTAAACTCTGATCAAGTACAACTACACATGGACGACATTTTAGTTACAGGCCGCACAATGAGCGAACATGACAAAAATCTGCATAAAGTGTTGAAATTATTAGAAGAAAAAGGTCTAACGTTAAATAAAGAAAAATGTAAACTTCGCAATTTTGAAACCACATATTTGGGATTTGTAATAGATGGTGATGGAATAAAACCGGATACCCAGAGGGTAGAAGCAATAACAAACTACCCAACCCCGAGAAACCAAACAGAAGTCCGACAGTTTTTAGGGTTAACAAATCAACTTTTTAAGTTTATCGAGAACGTCGCAGATAAAACCAGGTTGCTGCGCGAATTGTTAATTAAGGATCGACAATTCACTTGGACTCCAAACCATCAAAGAGAATTTGAGAACATAAAGAGTGAAATTGCGTCACCACGTGTATTAGCAAAATTTAACGTAACAAGAAAATCATGTGTATCGGCGGACTCATCATCATATGGAATTGGTGCAGTATTAGAACAGTTGTACAAGAACGATACGTGGAAACCAGTTTACTTTTGTTCAAAAACGTTAAGTCCTGCAGAAAAAGGATATGCACAAATTGAAAAAGAAGCGTTAGCGATCACGTGGGCTTGTGAAAGACTGGAACAATATGTACTCGGCAGCAAATTTGAAATTTTAACGGATCACAAACCATTGACTGTGATATTAAAAACAAAGGAAATAAACAAACTAACCAACCGTTTGCAACGATTCCGCATGAGAATGTTAAAATTTGAGTATGACATACACTACGTCCCAGGTAAACAATTTTATGTGCCAGACGCCTTATCTAGAGCTCCAATCACGAAAGGCAACGACGATACAGATGTTATCAACAGGGACATCACCGATGTATACATTAATGCAATAACTAAAGAAGTCAATGCGAAACTGCATTCTGAAGATGAAATAATAATGCAACAAAAGAAGGATCCCACAATCCAAAAAGTCGTCACTATATCCAGACATCCTGGCCACCAAAACACGAATTACTTGCAGAGGAAACAACGTACTGGAAATATAAAGACGACATCAAAGTAAGCAATTCCATACTCTGCTACAAAGACCGCGTTGTCATTCCTAAATCCTTGAGACGCTGGTGTTTGCAAGTCGTGCATGAAGGCCACTTTGGGATTCAAATATGTCTAGCAAGAGCTAAAGAAAACATCTGGTGGCCTGGAATAACAAGACAGCTTAAAGACATAGTAGAACAATGTGAAATATGTATAAAACATAAGCACCTGAGTGTAGAACCAATGATATAGCGAGGTACCGACAAGACCTTGGGAAGTTGTTGGTGCAGACCTTGCATACTACGAAAACAAAAACTACTTAGTAATTCAAGACTACTACACGAAGTACCCAGAAATAAAAAAGATGAAGAGAATTACTAGCAAAAAAGTCATTGAGGCATTTAAAGAAATTTTTGCAAGACATGGTATACCCGACAAAGTTAGAAGCGACAATGGAAGACAATTCGACTGTTTAGAATTTCGAAATTTTGCAAACCAATATGGATTCAAATGGATAAGTAGCAGTCCAGAATATCAACAATCTAATGGACAAGCAGAAAGTGCAGTGAAGTTGGTAAAAAAAAATTCTCAAAAAGAATGAAGACCCATATTTGGCTATTTTATCATACAGAAACACATCACAAAAGTGTGGAATGTCACCAGCTCAGCTACTATTTGGTAGATCACTACGAGAAAGAGTACCGACATTGTCAAATAAATTGCAGCCAATACTACCAAACCACCAAGAAGTGAGAAAAAGTCTATTGGAAGAACAACAGAATCAAAAGAAGTATTATGATCGACGTCACCGAACACGATACAACTCTGAATTGAAATCAGCTTGCAAAGTATGGATCATAAACTCCAGAAAAGAAGAAATTGTGAAAAAGAAAAGAGATGAACCACGATCATACGAAGTAGAAACAAACGAGGGAGTCATTCGAAGAGATAGAGTACACTTGCAACCAATGAATATAGGAAACGAAATAGAAGTTAGCAACCCAGAAGAAAACCGCATCCCAAGAGAGAAGTCAACGAAGAAAGAAAGTACCTACGGGGCTTCAGGAAATGTGCGCCGCAGTGAACGAATGAAGACTGCCCCAAAAAGATTTAATTACTTTATTCGTTAATGTTTGTATTCTTATTTTTGTCAGTATTTAGTTTTTATGTAACCTCATTCATGTTCATTTGTTAAGTTTATTTTATTTGTATTTCTTAAGAAAGGGAGATGTAGGGTAGATCTTAGTTAGGTTGGTATTGTACGTTGGTACTGTTGACAGTTGGTTGGGAAATTAATAAAGAGACAAGCATGGCGAAAGTCGCCGTAACGGATATTAATTAATACCTGGTCCCCTGCAAAGCCAACCACCACAATGACTTTGCGAGGTAACCGCAAATGATCAATATTATTTATTTCCTGAATTAACTGTTGCCAGGATACATACATGTCTCTCGGTATCGGTATGTCCCAATCTAAATTTCTGGACCATAGTTCTTGCATCATAACCTTGGCTCTGATTATAATGGGGCTAATTAAACCCAGCGGATCAAACGTTTTTGAAATGGCGGATAAAACAGTTCTCTTAGTAACCTCAGTTGGCGGAATTACATATTCAGAATTATACTGTAATGTATCGTTTGAACAATTTCAAAACAAACCCAAAGTTTTTGTATTTCCCTGTTTATCTAAATTAATAACGGTCGGTTCCCCTAAGTGGTTTGACGGTAACAATTTCGAATTGTTTGCTGCCCATTTGGACAATTCAAAACCCCCGGAATTTAAAATAGCGATTAACTGATCTCGGATTTCTCGGAGTTGTTCTAAATTGTTATGACCTGTCAGTACATCCTCCATATAGAAATTATTTAGAATAACATCTGCCGCATGAGGGTATCTAAGTTTATTATCTAACTCCAATTGATGCAAGACTCTAATTGCAGAAAATGGAGCACTTGCTGTCCCGCATGTGATTGTTTTTAGGCGATAAATTTGAAGTGGTTCGTTTATCTCGTTCCGCGAAAAGATTCTTTGATAATTAGCCAATAACACGTGACGTCATGTTGTGGCGGGAACTCAGCGTTTGACAAGCGCCGTGAAATTTCATAAGCGACAATGTTAACATTTTCGCATTTTATTTAAAAGTGTGGATATTTATTTAGGAAATAAACACGTGAATAGCTTCTTTCATATCTTTTCTGTGTATCAGGGTGCTTTTTTTGGCGATTTGAGTTTAGAAATACATAATAAAAATAAAAATACAGAACACTGTTTTGGTCTGAATTCCTTGTCGTCCAAAATACATCCGTGTGTTTTAAGCGGGAAATTGGAAATTAATATTTTCGTTTGAGGTTACTGTGACGGGTTTAAGTGAAGGTGTGTGATTGGTTTTTAAAGTATGGATAATTTAAGTGATTATGCACCATGTCTTTCCGTCGAAGACAAAAACAGATATGTACAAAAGTTAAACAATTTAAACGGCGTAGATCCTTATACAATGAGTCCAAGTGATTTTAGTTTGTGTTTAGACGATGTCCCTACCATAACAATGAATACCATTCTAAACTTTTTTATTTTTAGAGTAAGTAAAATAACCCACAATAAAACTCGTGCCTTCAAAAGTCTAGAGACATTTATTCAATTTTCTCTTTTTTAAACAACTGTGTCTTTCAACATTACAAGTATTATGAGTGGATTTATTTTGATATCCTAAATTTTGTGATGGAACATAATCAGGATGGTCCACATCCGACAAATCTGCAGGTTTACCTAAAAGAGCACCAATGTAGTAATTTGTTAGAAACTGTAAATCTAATAGGTAGGTACTGTACCTAAAATAAAATGATCCGAACAAACATAGGAATACTTTACTTTGGCTTCGTTAAATCCACTCGTTTCAAGGCTTTTAACCAAAGCTTCCGCCTTTTTCCCCATCCTGTATATATTTACCATTATTGTTGCTAATTGCTGCGAAAGGAATATAAAATTTGTCCGCATTTCTGGTGCTTCGATTTGCGCAACCCACAACAGCACAAAATTTAGGCATTTTCTTCTAAAATACAAAATATTATAATATTAAGATGCTAGTGTATTTAAAAAACATTGATGTACATTAACAAGGAATTAATTTGCAAAACAAATAATATAAGATGCAGCGAAGTTAACCTGTACATCACATTGGAAAACATTATTTTTTAAGCGTATTAAAACGTTATGGTGCGTTTTACAGATATCCACACAGTCTAGAAACTGTAACGAACTTACCAAACTATAAAAACACAGTTGACACACTCACAAATTTAAATGAATTCCGAAAATATTAGCATTGACTCTTATGAGAAAACCGGCTAGTTGTCAAACGCTACCATCTTGATGACCTCGGATGACGTCAGTGTATTTGGCTAATTCGTTTGTTCAGGCTCAACCCAAATTTGTCTGTGCATTTTGATTATGTCTGCGCTTAAAACAAATTGAAAGGTCCTAAAACGTAGAATAATTGCTAAAAGATCGGATTGAATGGTAAATTAACTTTTATTCATTTATACCATAAATAGCTATTCTCAGGAGTCTTCAGCACTGTAAACTTTATGGAAATAATGTATAATTTTTTTTAAGTGCATAATGTATCAAACAAACAACATTATACTTATTCATTCTCTAGACAGCAGCGTTGCTCCGTTTGTAAATGTTGATGATGAAACGTTGATCCAGAACTTTTCAGCGCGGATTGGTTTAAAGGGACTTAGTAAAGAGACTGCCCATGCACTGCAGTTCACCTCTAAAAGTACTTACTTATGAACTTATGTATCAAATTTTTGCTTACCCAAGCAGGATTTTATTACGTGTTGACACGTTCATTTAGTTCTGATGCCATAGAAGCTACATTTTCCCTTTTCAGATTGAGGGGTGGTTCGCAGGATCAAACAGATGCCAGGGCAACAGAATATGCACTACGGCAAATTCTCCGTTGCGGAATTGTAAAAGTTTCTGCATCGTCAAATCCAGCAGAAAAAAGTACTTAGGTTAGTAAATCTACTATTTCAACCTTGGAAAATAGAAATGAAGAAAACAGTGAGGAAATTGACGAGGAGATACTCTTACCCATCATTATAAGAGATGAAATCTACCACTTGAGTGAAAATTTCATACCTGCAAATAATATTGTCTGCATCTGTTGCATTTTTGTCCGGATATATTATTAAGAAGGTAGAACAAAAATTTGCTTGTGATGAATGTAGCAGACAATTTTTATCCACAACAACACCAGGACCGCTATTAAAATTAATTACTTATCAAAATCGAGGCGGACTATTAAGTCCTAACGAGCATTTTGTTGGCGTTATTTATAAATTAACATCAACAATTCAAAATTTAGTACCTTACCTGAAAGGGGAAAATATTTGCAAAAAATTACTTGACTCGATACATCCTCACCTTCTTAAAAACACTATATTCTCCTGCACTGAACACAGAGATGCAGTTTGCAGATTTGTTATAACTACAACTGCAAAACCTGCACTCGATAATATTTGTTTATGAACAACGCATTCGTTAAAGAGATTAGGTTTACAAAATAAACCTTCGACCCGAAAAGTGCTAAAATTATAACCAACAATTTTGGTTTAATTATTATTGTTATTTATGTGTAGAAACAGAAAAAAGTTATGTTTTGTTTTTCTAATAGATATTTATTTTATTAGGAGTTTAAGTGATACTTTATGTGACAGAGTATGGACGATTAAACGCCGAGCGATAGCGAGGCGAATTACGTCCATACGAGTCACATAAAGTCACTTAAACTCCGAATGAAATACAACAGTTATTTTATTTTCAAACGATTAATCTTCTTTTGAAATGATTATTTCCTATCTTCTTGCTTCATTAAGGAATTGCCTTGATTTCACTTACCATGGTTACTATGGTTGACAACCACTATGATTTTCACATATTTATACTCCGGCGGAGTATAAGTAGTACCTACTTATGCGCCGCTCAAACACGGTGTCAGCGAAATGACACTCAAACCCCGGTAAGAACGTCATATAAATGTCAGTTATATGACGTTTGAAAATAAAATATTTTTTTCCAATTTCTACTAATAAAATGCTCATTTTGTATGTCAAATCTCGCTATTAAAACAATAGTTTAATCGAAAGGATGAATAAAATGTTTGTAGCAACACTTTATTCACATTGTCATTGACAACACGAATAAAGTAAAAAAAATAAAAATTCCCACTACCACTGAAATTTACGTTGCTATGGATGTGTGGATATTCAGCTAAAATTTGCAACGCTTGATAGTCCACCTCCTGTAAAACAATCCTAATGAAAGTCCAGGAGCATCGTTTGAATTTGACCGTGACGAAAGTACAGGCAGCTTAGGCAATTTACCTTCTTCAAATGTTCATCATATTAGTAATAGTACAATTAATATTATGTATATGGATTACCTAACCAATAAATTTTTTGAAAAATTTTGCGAAATTGGAAAAAATCTTGTATGATACACGTGAATAAACGAATTTTATCCACTCAAAAACATTATCACACTCAGCTTCGCCTCGTGTGCTAAACTGTTTTTTCGTTGGATAAAATTCACTTTTATTCACTTATACCATAAACAGCTATTTCACAACTCTAATAAACAAACGCTGTCAATACGCTGTCAGTTTAGCAGTTTACTTTAAGTATATAGTATATAGTAATGTTACCGTTTGGTGGCGACACTATATGTCCATCAAATGGTAACATTTTTATCAATGAAAAATGAAAAATTGAAACGGCCTTATCTCGAGAGATTGATGGAGTTGGCGATGTTTTTTTTTTTTATTTGATTACGCTCCCCTACAGGCCGGTGGACCAATTACAGGGGAACGGGGGACATACACAACACCCAGAGCCGGGCGGGAATCGAACCTACGACCCAAGGTGTAGCGGGCAAGCACGAAGCTACCTAACCCACCCGGGTCCTCTGAGCCCTTGGTTTCTGAGTCATATATTAAACTACTTTTGATTATTGCGCTGTAGATGTTATACTTCTCTTTTTTCATTGTGTTTACTCTAGAGGATTCCATTAAGACACCCTATTGGTTTTCTGGCCTGTATAATTCTACTTCATGTTTCTTTATCGGCTATACCGCTTTTATCAAATATTACGCCTAAATATTTGTATTCGTTATAGGCTTATATTTCTTCTGTGGCATCTATTTGTAAGTTTTCTATTCCATCTGCAATTTTTAAATATTTGGTTTTTTGGATGTTCATTGTTAGTCCCCATTCTGAGTAAGTCTGTTTTAGCTTGCGAGTCATATATTCTAGATCTTCCTTGCTCCTGCAAAACCTGCTTGATCATCTGCGAATTGTAAACTATAAATGGTTAGGTCGCCTAGAGGTATTCTCATTCCGAAACATTTTATCTTCCATTTTAATAAGGCTTCTTTTACGTAAATTTTAAATAAAGTCGGGGACATACAACATCATTGTCCCAATCCTTTTGTGACATGTAAATGTAAAAATGTTTCGGAGATTACTTGTATAATAAAAATGGATACAGACACCAGACAGACAGACGGAAACGGGGGTTCACTTTTTTTTGTACTCTAGGGGTGAGGAAACGTTAAGAAAATATGAAAGTACCAATTCGTCGAATGAACTCGATTACTATACTTCCTTGGCTTACGCTCGGACAGTTAAAAAAATGGGTCGAAAGTGTATTCGACAGAACTTTCCTCACATCTAAAGTACGATAAAACATCCAAAATTTTCGCCTTGGGTTTTTTCTTTACACAATTTTGTAATACCGTCATCAACATTTTTGCAAAGACACGTATATCAACTTGGATCAACTTAAATGACAACAGTAAAATCGGCTTTTGTGTAAGAGCCAACAACTTGCCTTCACTGAGAAGAAACCGCAATGGTTGTAAATAACATGCTTACCTACCATGATACGCAAGGACGCACTTGGAGGTTTTGTAAGTACAAGAAAATTGGTCTAAAGAGTTTAGACAGTACTTCCCTCGCTGTCGGAAACTTGACGACTGCATGCCTATTGTGTTTTTTTTTCTCGTTAGATTTTTGTAGTGGGAGTTTAAAAAAAAAATGCGATGACGTCATCAACATTTTTGCAAGGACACAGTTGGGATAGATGTAGTGTAATACTAAGAATAAAATTATTGTATTCCCAAAAAGTAAATGTAAATAAGCGTGCTACGCTTATGTTTCAAACGAGTTTTTACTTTACAAAATTTTGTGTTTACCAAATTGGGTTGGTCCAATGTAATACTAATAATAATAAGTGTTGCCTTTAATTTAATCAATAAAATAAATTGACTTATTCATTAATTTTTTTGAGCCACCTCTTAAGAGGAGGTTTTACCCACACGGAAAGTAGCCTGTGCAATGTGTTATGATTTTTCGAATCATTAGATTTATTAATGGTTAAAAACAGTTGAAAATTTAAATGCGTGTTGTCAAAAGATGTGGCATTTTGCCACCGTTCGAATTTTTTAAATCTGATAAATAACTGTTGCAATAAAAATTAACAAAATCACATAAAATTGGCTTAAAATAAGCATTTGTAACTCGGCAATTAAATGACGCCTTTGAAAAATTCAAACGGGGGCAGCAAGATCAACGTTTCGTAACTGTGTATATAAAATTGCGACGTAAATTACAAAATGTTGCTATAAAACGAAAAAACAGAACGCATGTTTTCGGACAAAATGCAAGCCGATTTCTGGTCGTCCTCACTCGGGTCAGGTGAGGAAAGACGCTAAGCGGGGGCTCACATCTACTCCCACTCTAAAACGCAAAGTACAGACACGACGAGATCGTATTTTGAAATACTTTTGTCATATTATAATCGGTGGAGTGTTACAAGTCGACGACGGTACCCGAACTAAGTTGAATCTTTCTGTGTACGCTGTGACTAAGATTCACCTCTCCCCTCGAAACTGTTTACGCCCCTCAGAATTCACTGACTTCACAGTTTAAGACACGAATGAATGGTTTGAGTAAAACCTGCTCTTAAGCAAATCCAAAAAATATGATTGGAATGATAAATCACAAGTACAAACTCATCATATTTTGTACATTTTAGATAGGATTTATTCAGCAAAATTTTGGAGTGACGTCATCAATTTTTTAGAGGGGAAGAGCAAATACATTTTGATAAAAAATGTACCAGGCTTATGATACGTTTAAAATATCTCCAAGATTTCAAAGCATTCGGTTCTGTAATTCCTGATTAAATCAATAAAATAAATTGACGCATTTATTAAATTTTTTGAGTCATCCTGTATATGCAAATCGAAAAAATTTTAATGGAATGATAAATCACAAGAAAAGACTCCCCATACATACATTTTAGATAGGATTTATTCAGCAAAATTTTGTGATGACGTCATAATTTTTTTAGGGGGGACGACCAAATATATTTTGATCAAAAATATTCCATGCTTAAGATAATTTTAAAACATCTTCAAGATTTCAAAGCATTCGGTTTTGCAGTTCCTGAGTAAATCAGAAAAATAAATTTTGCGCATTCATTAATTTTTTTGAGTCACCCTGTATATGCAAATCCAAAAAATATGAATGGAGTGATATATCACAAGGGTGGCGGAAACTTTATGGAAAAACAAAATATCGAAAAAAAAATATCGCATGTAATATATCGAAAAACTAAATATCGAATATACAAAATATCGAAACGACAAAATATCGATCAACAAAATATCGAATATACAAAATATCGAAACGACAAAATATGGAAATTGTAAATATCGAAAATGTTAAGAGAATGAGTAATATACATTTTGCAAAACTATTAATTTTTAAAAATAAAGTTTTATTACAAGTTACATGCTACATTTGTTAAATAATTAATATAGAAATCGTTTGTATTTTGATAGCTTTCACTGAAATGGTTGACCACCACCTGTAATTTTTTATTTTTGTCTTTGTACTCTTTTCTTGGAGGTTCTTTCAATCCGGCGCCTTGTTGAGTTATTTTCAATTCAGTCATTGACTGCTCTCTTTTAAGTCCATCAAAAAACGCCCAAACTGATGGTTTTTTGGCATGAAACTGATTATTTAAACATCTGTGCCACGCTTCTACTGCAAGGTTAGTAGTTGGAAAATTTTGTACGACTGCATCGAAAAAATTCCAAAGACTGTGTCTAAATTTTGGCTCTCTTTTGGGCATTTTTCGACCAATCCAAGTATTTTCAAAATATAATACGACAGACTAGGCATCTTCTGGTATATCGCTTGCAACACATACTGCCTCGAATGCTCTAATAACATGCTCGACGGGAACAAATGCAATAGAAATTAGTTTTTTAACAAACAAATGAAAATCCTTGTCTGAGTCATATAAATATTGCTTTCTATTGGTTTGTAGATGTCTTCGTACACATTGACGGTAGTGAAAATAACATCCGTGACTTAATCCAGATGGAAATAAAAGTGAACAAGCATTGATGGCAGCCAATTCAAAGTCAGTTATTATTCTCTGTACTTTTGGAACATTTAAAAATTCTCTGTTTTTTTCAAACATTTTCACGTATATACCTTCAGTTTTTTTTGGCAGAAGCCCAAACACCAGAGGGAAATATGCTCCTTCATTTCGCCATGGATTGTATATAATTGATAGAAGAGACTAGAAACAGTTTGAAAAGTACCATCCATCAACCATGTAGGGCAGCAACGAAGCAATTCTAAATTTTTAGGTCTTCCAAAAATAATAACTCTGTCTTCATCCTGTGAATCATATAAAAGGAACTGATCCTCTTTTGCCGTACTTTAATACTTGTCTGAAATTGTCAAATCACTCAATGTCAATGGAACTGATGGTTCAGGATTTTGATTTTCACGACAATGCCTTACATTACGACTCAGACTACTAACCGATGGAAAATGCGTAATAGCAGCAGTACTCATGGATGACATAACTTCGGATATTATCGCTCTTGGAGCATCTTTTCCAGTTGCAGTTTTTTGCTTTATTTTGCTAACAGCCTCTACCACTTCTAGCTTTAAAGCGTCTCCATCGTGATCATGTTCCCTCTTTAAGGTGAAAATTCCTAGATTGTTGATGGTGGCACGTGCCCTACATTTTTTGACCCATTGATCGCATTTCCAGTATACCGTGTTCTCTGTTGATTTTTCTTTTGTATAGAAAAAACCGCCACAGTACAGTTTCTTCTTATTTTTCTGACTTTCAACGTAACGAAAATCCATATTTTCAATCTGAATGAGTCGAAAAATGATGACACTTTTATTTTCGCTGACACTGAGCCTCTACGATTTTTTGTTATTGCAATTAATAACGGGGTACTGGTTATAACGTAGATTTCATTAATCTGCTGGACGCTCAATATAGTTTGAATGCATGCAATGCCGACAATAAAGTGGGATTTATAAACTTGCTGTTGACGTTGAAGTTGCCGCTGCAGTTGCTGTTCCCGCTGACGTTGCTGCTAGAGCTGAAAATCGTCATTTATAAACTCCGTTGGCAGTTGCCGTTCGCACAGGCCGCAGCTGTCAAATCCAATTGTGAGGTTACGTTTTCATGTCAACAATGCACAAACACCGACAGAAAGCTACAATGATGGCAGGTTTTTAAAATATCAGGGTTTCGGTGAACAGATGATTAGGTGGTTTAATATTAGTGGGCCTCATTATTTGATTTTGAAATTTGATTTTCGTGGAATTAGTGCTGTCAACCAGAAAAAGGTCCCGCCTACTTCAGGGAATTTTCTTTTAAGTTGACAGCACTGCACACCACCTCAATTTGATTGGTTGAAAACCCAACGTCAACGGCAACGTAACGGCGAAAGATAAAAGTTGGTCATCTCGAACGTCATCCCAACGGCGTGCCAACTTCCAACGGCAACGTCAACGGATGATATAAACAACGCATACGTTTGCTGTATATTTATCTTCCAACGGCAACGTCAACGGCGAACAGCAACGTCAGCGTCAAGTTTATAAATCGACCTTAACAGCGCCAGCGTCATCATAAAAAATTTTGGATATATTTCGATATTTTGTAGTTTTGATGATATGTTTTCCGATATTTTGTATATTCGATATTTTGTGATTCAATATTTTGTGAATTCGATATTTAGCTTTTCGCTATATTACGTGCGATATTTTTTTTTCGATATTTTGTTTTTCGATAAAGTTTCCGCCACCCATATCACAAGTACAGACGCATCATATTTTGTACATTTTAGATAGGATTTATTCGGTAAACTTTTGGGCTGACGTCATCAAGTTTTTGCAGGGGATAACCGAATATATTTTGACTAAAGATTTATGATGCTCTATAGAGCCTTAAAATATCTGCAACATTTCAAAACATTCGGGTTAGCAGATTCAAAATTAAATTGCAAAATGTTGTTTTATACTTTTGATTTTTTTTCCAAAAATCTGGACGTTTCGGGGAAAAACTCAATTCGGAGTCGTAAATTACATGTGTAGGACTATGTTATTTGATACAATTTAAGACCCATTTACTATGTACAATTTTGAAGTGACGTCATCACATTAGTGATGGGGATGATTAGGCAAATTTTGGTTAGCGTTTTACCATCTACATGATATTCCTAATATAAGTACAAAATTTCACAACAATCGGCCCAGTACTTTCGGAGATTATCTGTCTAATAAAAATGCGGGACGGCAGACAGACGGACAGACGGACAGACAGACGGAAATGGGAGACCTATTTCTTCGTCTTCTTCTAGGGGTCATGAGAGATCGAGAAAATGTAAAAGTAGAGAGTCGGCCGACGGACTCGATTACAATACTTCCTTTGCTTACGCTCGGGAAGTAAAAAAGTATAAAATGGAAAGCAAATGTACACTCAATTAATTGTGCTTTTCTGTGCAAATTGGTTGTAGACCCGACTGTTTGAGTTTAAACAAATTTATTACAATAAATAAAATATATATCTCTTGCTTTGTTTCGTTAAAAGTACTGCGTAACACACAAATCTGAACACCTGCAAACGATTTACGGGGATAAAGGACGTCACCGTAAAGCACCCCATTATTAATGGTCAAGAACTGTATTGCTGCCATATAACCTTAGAAAATTTGTCTTAGTATAATATGTATATGTATATATTTACCTATTTTGAAACCTAAAATCTTAAATTGGAAGATTGGTCATGAACATATCATGCCTGCTTAAAAAACAAAGGATAATGTGTTCACACTGTTAGAACAGTTGAGTCCTTGCTTCTAGATTTTCTCTTAAGATTAACACTACTTATTTTAATTTTCTAAAAGTGGGTACAAGTTTTACTGATTATGTTATATTAAAAGTCTATTCGCAATTTAATGAAAATGATGTTATTGTAAATCTGTTGGTTTGATAAATATTTTATTTCAGTTCCTCCTAAAGTTAGTCCCTTCTACATTGAAGATACCTTACATATTGGTGATCGCGCCAGTTTAACATGTTCTGTAACAAAAGGCGATTTACCGTTGACTATTTCTTGGCGTAAAAATGGTCGCAACATACAACCAGTGCACATGGTGTCCATCACCCAAGTGGATCAATTTACTAGCATTCTAGTCATAGAAAAATTGTCTTCAGAACATAACGGCAACTACACATGTGTAGTCAGCAATTTGGCAGCAGAAGTATCCCATACCCACCAGTTGGTGGTCAACGGTAATTGGGCGCGCCGTGTCGCGTGTTTTAATATTTATTTTCTATCTCTGATGTTTGTTTCTCTTCTCTCTCAGTTCCTCCTATTATTGAGCCCTTTTCCTTTCAAGACGGGCTGTCAGAAGGCATGCGAACTCGTACCGTCTGCGGCGTGAGTTCTGGGGATCCGCCGCTGGTGGTTTCCTGGCTCAAGGATGGGCAACCGCTGACGCCTTCCCTGGGCGTCAACGTGTCGGCCCTTGATCCCTATTCTAGTCTCCTCAGCATTTCTAGTCTTGACTCGCGCCATTCTGGAGACTTCACTTGCGTGGCAAGCAACCCTGCGGCTGAGGTCAGGTACACCGCCAAGCTACAGGTCAAAGGTAACCACCCAGCCTGTCTCCTTCCACCCATCACTCCTCACCACAATTTTCGTTGCTTTGGCACATGCGTCAACTGGAATCCCCAGGTCAAGGTACTGTTGCACCCGTTTTTGTTCTTTTTCACTTTCACAGAGTAGACAGAAATGTTTGAAAGTTTTTTATTAAGCATGATATTTACTTGCAGTAGTTTTACGAACTTAGTGTAATAGGTGTCACATTGGTATAATAAGCTGCTTAAAAATACACACCGTCGCTACCACTACTATCACCATATTGAGAAGATAAAGTCCCCTCACGAGTACTTGCTTATTGCAGCGAAACCAGTACTGTAGTCACCCCTGTAAAATCGTGTAGATTGTCGTGTTTCAATCTACGGCACAAACTGCAACATAAATGTTTTAAAAAAGTTTTTTTTTGATATTTAAAACTTTTGACGATTGTTCCAGTACCACCTCGATGGGAAGTCGAGCCAATTGATGTCAGCGTGGAACGAAATCATCAAGTATCTATCAACTGTCAAGCTAAAGGCGTACCTACTCCAACAATTACATGGAAAAAAGCAATAGGTAGTGTTACATCTTTAAAATTTTAGCATGCGATTTTATACTGCAAGAATAGTTTCGTGTAGAGCTTGGGAAATGAACGAACCACTGAAATCTATTGAAAAACTTCGGTTGTACTTTGATTTTTAAATGTCATAATGACAAGGAATTTTTTCAATATTTTTTTGTTATCAGATTTTGAAATGTAAGACTAAACTGGTTTTTCTAGTTTAAGTTTTCTTTTTGATTTAGTTTGAAAGAATCTTGGGGATCGGCTGCTTTAAATTACCTACATGTGTATACAGGGTGATTTTTTTAACCTGAAACTTTCAAATATCTCGAAAAATAAGCATTCTACAAAAAAATGTCCAGAATAAAAATGTATTCATTCTATGAGGGAAAAACTTTAATGTAAAAAAACTACCCCCCCCCCCTTTGAAATCTTAAATAGGGACCCCCAATTTTTATTCCGGATTCGGATTCAATCATACTCATGACAGATGACGCTGTAATTAACAAAATTAATTTTTTTTCGATTTCTCGTACTGAGAATCTGTGCAAACAATTTTGCAGTAAAAAATAGCACTTTTTCGTTGTAAATAATTAAAAATGAGTCACCACATCATTGAAGACAAATTGAATGGTGAAATGTACCGAGCGTCGTCTTCGTTGATTCACTATTAAAGTCTCTCCAATTAGTTACAATCGTCCGACTTGTCAGAAGGGAAAATATCAAAAGATGTCACCCCCTTCGGGAGTTACAGGAACCTGTAATTAATCCGTTTTGTCGCGCGCCAAAACTGTTTGTGCTTGAATTGAATATTATCAAAATGTCCAAAAAATATTGCTCTGAGCCTGCTTGTGGGGTAATCAAGGATTCTAGAGACCACAAAATAATGCACAGATTCCCTTCAAACACTGTGAACAAAAGGTTGTGGTGCAAAAAGGTTTTTAATGCTACAAGTAGGTACCCCAACATGAATCTTTTACCTAAGGGAATGTATAGCCATTAAAACCATTTCAGATGGTAATATTGCCAATAATTTATACATTTGTGGTAAACACTTTTGAGAGAAGTTGTTACTATTCAATTACTATTCAAATAAAAGACTTAAACCCGGCTCTGTTCCTACTTTGTTCCTCCATGGTTCCAAGTCACCACTACCTGTTCCTACTTCTTCAAGCTACCCAGCAAGCACTAAACGTGATCCAGAATGCAGCATCATAATTCCTGAGACACATTCCGATAACAATGTAAACACCTCAAAGAAAAATTTTCCTACTGCATATCCCTTTGAAGACCATCCACACCCATGGCGTTGTGACTTTGGCACCGGTACCGAAATTTTGCCTCTTTTTCGAGTAAAAACCGAAATACATGATGTCAAATTGTGTCAAAAAGTCAGACCATGACAGACATTTAGCCGACATTACAGATTCCTTTCCCTCCCGACGTATGCGCCCTCACATGTCACATTTAAGGGATTGGAGAGACTTTAATAGTGAATCAACGAAGACGACGGTACCGAGACATTTTAAAAAATGAATTGTCAACGTTACTTCAAAACTTGAGATTGGAAGTGGGACAGAACCTGTGGTTTCAACATGATAGTTGTCCACCACACTATTCGATGGTGATACATGAAGTACTTGATCATGATTTGAATAGTCATGGATCGGTAGAGCTGGTCCGGTAAACTGGCCTGCAATATTCAATCTCTTATGACTGATATTAACAACAACTGAACAAGTGTTAAAGTTTCAAAGAGCAATAAACAACATTTAGATTCGCCATACAATCTTGTGAAATCTTGAACAACAAATAATTCTTATGTGAGATTAAAGTTGGACATCAAATAATTTATATGATAGAAACATTCATCAACAAAGTATTTACAAAACAGAACTCAGCAAAGCTATCAAACAGAAGATCTGGTGTGTAATAAACTTGTACAAATAAAAATATTATGTGAGGATAAAACTGTAGAACATGAAATTTACGTTCAATTAAAATTATACAACAAATAAAATTACTGAGGTTAAAATTGTGAGATTAATAGTTATTTGTTTAACAAGGCTGGTAAATGCAGTTTTGGAAATGCGAGGAAATTGTTGGAACCCGAGCCCGACGGCCGAGGCTTGCAATTTACGAGCATTTCCAAATAATTTTCCAGACGTGTAAAACACAACATTTTGTGCGCCGACAATTTATTACAATTATTTATTTTGACTTGTCTTTTAATTAAAAAACACGTAGGAAAATTGTATTATTTAGAAAATAGATTGGTAGCACTGCGCGATGTTCAAAAATTCAAATTAACCAATTGAAGATTAAAAATTGAAATGTCATAATTTCATGTCAATTGTGAATTGTAATTTGTGAAAATTTTGATAATAAATGGAACCATCCGCGCATATTAAACAAGCTGCACAAGACGCTGTAAACAGCTTATTACCGTCAAAGTCTTCACACAAATATTGGCGGGAGTATGAAATATTTGAGCGATGGTGTGAAAACAACTTAGTGCAAGAATGTTCTGAAGTTGTTTTACTGGCGTATTTTAAAGAAAGAACAAAATGTCTGAAGTATTCCACATTTTGGTCTATTTTTTCAATGCTTAAAGCAACATTAAACATAAAAAGAAACATAAATATTACAGTAAACTCGTATCCTTTTTAAAACGCCAAAAAGAAGGGGATGTGGCAAAAAAGTCAAACATTTTGGAATTTGAAAATATCACAAAATTTTTAAATGAAGCACCTACCCAGAAATATCTTATGATGAAAGTAAGTGGGTACATGAACTTAATTTTTCTTAGTTATTGAAATCTGATTTTAGGCTACAGTAATAATTGCCATGTCTGCGGCATGCCGAAGTGGGGAATTAGTAAAAATGCAATTAGAGGATGTGCAGGATAAAGGTGATGTGATTATTATTAAAATACCTGATACGAAAACGAAAATACCGAGGACATCGTGTATTACTGAGCAAAGTTGGATTGAAACGATAAGAAAATATATGCTATTAAGACCAGAGGGACCTGCAAGATTTATCCTAACTTATTCCAAGGGTAAATGTTTCAGGCAGCCTGTAGCATTCATTCTTTTGGGAAAATGCCATCACAAATTGCTACGTTTTTAAATTTGAAAAATCCAAAAGGATACACAGGGCACTGCCTTAGCGGGACATGGAGGTGAATTAGTAACACTGAAACGGTATGGTCGCTGAAAGCTACATTGAAGACACATTAACGTCAAAAACTGCAATTGCCAATCAGTTGGCAGGCCACCACCCACAAGCATCCACAAGTTCCGCTGTATTTCAAGAAATACCTCTAACTTTCGCAGATCAAGAATCATTAAGAAATTTACGGGAAACTGAACCCTCCTCAGTGTCTTCCAGCACCCATAACATTGCGGTAAAAATGGGCGATGCAGCCCAATATTACTGTGACAAATTGTAAAAATTGCACTATTAATTTTAATTTCAACAAATAATTTAACATTCATTTGTGATTTCATTATTTATAGTTTTGTTACACTAATTACACAGGTTTAATATCATTGTTACATTATTTTTTTTTAAGCTTGAATAAGTTTTCTTCTGTGGTAATAACTTTCATCAAAAAGGCTCTTCCCTTCATAAACTAAAAACTTAACATGCAACTTTTGACTTGCACATGTGCTGAAAACTTACAAACATAGGGGAGTAGACATAAGTCTGCATGTTGCTTGCTGTTGTAAAAATTAATGCGTTCACACAAATTCTGTTAATCAATTAATGCGTCACACGCCTTGTCCTTTTCCAAATTTTATTTTAGTTTTTCCTTTAGCATAATAATGCACTCTCATGGTCTCAAACATATTTTCGGAAGTCAATAATTAGCACACAACCCCACGACAACCTAAACAGCACCTAAACAGGCTAAACAGTTCCACTTGCAAATTCCAAACACAATGCATGCAAAAAGTGTGACGTCACATAGGCGTTGGCGCGTTCCAACTGATTCCAAACAAAAATGGTTGCCATGGTTACCTGTGTTAAATGGCCATAAGAAAGTGGAATCAGTGGCACTGGTTTGTTGTGTTTGGAATCAGTTGCTATAGCAACCACGACTAATGACGTCACGACTTTTCTGGTGTGCAGTGATGCCAACCTGCAAAATAAATCTAACTATTTTAAATGTCACGTTTGATTGCCTAGACTTCAAAAGATTATTTTCTTACCGCAATCATTGATTAAATACATATAGATAGACCCATGCTATTGTTTGGAGCGAACAGGCCAACGGCCGGCGAACAAGAGATGGCGCACCAACGGTCGGCCGTCAAACGCCGGCGAAAAGCTTGGACACCAATAACGCGCATAGGTAACACAAATCACACTAATAATATATTTAATAAATCTACCACTCGATAGAGGGCGACGAAAAAGTGTGTAAAAATCTCATAGTTAGCATTTAAATAATTTGCAACGTTGCCAGATGAGCCTAACACAAATTTGCCGTTATTTCTAGCCAAGTAGGATTTATTTCGTTTAAAAGTTTCTGATAAAGAAATGGGATTATTATAATGAATAAAAAAAATTGGTCTAAAGAGTTTAGACAGTACTTCCCTCGCTGTCGGAAACTTGACGACTGCATGCCTATTGTGTTTTTTTCTCATTACATTTTTGTAGTGGGAATTTAAAAAAAAATTGTGATGACGTCATCAACATTTTTGCAAGAACACGTATATCAGTTGGGATAGATGTAGTGTAATACTAAGAATAAAATTATTATATTCTCAAATTTTCTGGAAAATGAATTGGGTCGTTTTGAATATTGATTTGTAATAATCGATAAAATAACGAAACAATTTACTCACGTGTACGTATCAGAGACAACTGAAAATCGTGTGTGTATAAACATTCTTAATTTAAGATGACAGGCGTAACAGCATACGTGAGAGTCAAACAGAGAAACTGTAAACAAAACGACCATCGGTTTTATTGCTGCGACTTCCGCTTATTATATAAAACATTG